CTGGTTCGGTAGATTTGACGAACCGGTTCTACCGAATAGGTGCAAACTGGTAGGAACCCACCTCTGATGTACACATATCATATATGTGCATATTTAAATATTATAGTTTGATTTTATAGCTTTAAATGTACACATATCATATATATGGGAAGAAGCTTTGTTGAAAGAGCATTGACTTAAATTTAAATAGGATTGCAAAAGTTAGATGTACCGAAAAAGTTTTAAAAAAAACAGTAGCAAAGCAAATATATAGTACTAAATATCTTAATTCCCAGGTTCATGCTTCAGTCACTAGAACAGCATACTTCAGATAAAGTGACTATAATCTACATTGATGGAAATCAAAAAGTGCAAGATTAGTACAATTTTTACAACAATGCAAAAAAAAAAACCTGAATAAAGCAAGGTACATGTAATGATGTATTACAAGTATAAAAAGAGGATTAACACATTTGATAATACTGGAATTTAAATTAGCTTGACATGATGGTTTTAAAAGTAATAACTGACCGCATCTTTAACCACAGAAATGTTCCTACGTACCAGAGATGCGACAATTGGATAGCAGCCGTTCATATTCATCGCCGAGAGCCAGATAATTAATACAGCATAGAGGCTGTAAGAAAACATGTATTATATTAATTTATTTTTCAGAAGGCAATAAGTGATTCATGTAGAATGCTAATTTTCCAAAGATGGAAATCTAACATATATACCTGAGCATGTTTTTTTTTTAAACAAATTCTGTTTTATGATACTTCCAGGTGGAAAGAAAAATTTACAATTGCACAGCCCCATTCCTTATCTTTATCACTAGTCATTTCCTCAACTATCATTTTATACTAAGACTTTGGGAACAAAAATGTCACAGAATCACATTTATATGCGACTAATTGGCCACAGGTTGGCCTTTATTCTTCCTAAGTGGAAAGATGGCAAGGATGCGACTTCAAGATCAGCGTGGAGCCTCCAAGTGATTAAACTGAACAACGTTGTTATGAGGAGACCTTTAAAATCATTCGTCTCTGGCCAGTAACTTTGTGTGACCCAAATTGTTAGAAATCTTCTCAACTCGAATATCTTGCATGCATTCACCACAAATGTTAAGTTACCTTCTACCTCTTATATAAACTGTACCATCTGAAAGGAAAATAACATTCCTAGTTATTCCATTTAATGGGCAGAGCAAGCAATGTTAAAAGAGTTTTATTCCACAGAACTTTGTTTTATACAATTCCAGTTTACTTGATAGGAAAAAAAAAACCAGTATGTGGTGGGATGAAAGGGATTCATGAAGGGAATTCGGTAAAGATCAAACTCTAGGACAGCATTCATACAAAATGTGAATCGTGGTTTACTGGAATAACACAATAGATTGGATTCACACTGTACCTTCACCTAAGTACCCTGATTAGATTTTGCGTAACACAAAGCAGCCAATTACAGATAGCAGATTGTGCAAACTTTAGCCAGGTGTCCATGTTAGAAAATCTATCATCAATTTGGTGGTTATTTTTCATAGTGGAATTTTGTATTGGCTTTAAAAATAGTATTTGTCACTGTTGGCTGATTGTAAGACCTTGATAGACGTTTTGCATGAAAGAGAAAAAAATATATTTAACACTTACGGTTTTGATGATTAGAGGAAAAAAATTGGATAATAGAAAAAAAATGAAGTTTTTGTAGTGTTATCGTAAGCTAAGAGATAATCATACATGTATTTGCTGCAAAAGAGAACAGAATTTTTTTTTCTTTTTATCCTTTTTTGCAACTTTGTTTTCTCTTATCTCTCTCTATGGAAGGCACACCTGGATCACACATTGCAAGTAGCCATTAGGTCCTCAAATGCAATCAAACATTTCTTTTATACA